GCATGATGGTACATACTTCATATGAAATACTGTAAAGATTAGAAGAGAATATATGTAAAGTGTCAAGTACAATGCCTGGTATAGTGTGGGTGCTGCTCAAGAGAAAGTTTGTTTTAGGATCTAGATGCTCCTTTCATAAAGAAATTACTCTCTGAGATATTGTCAGGACAATATAAGTCTGTTTTCTCACTGCCCTCTTAACTTCTTAGGTTAAGGGAACCATAGCACATTACAATCTGGGCCTTCAGAGCTGAAATATTAACTACTGCATGGAAATAATGGTTTTTCATTATCAGAAATTATCCCAGTTTCACAATCCAAATTTGTCCTAAACACAGTTGTCAGAATAATCTTCCTAAAATAGTGATCTTTTCATATCAGTATCACGTCAAACCACCTTCCTGAATCATCGTCTTCCATTGGTATGCAGGACACTGCATTCTTCTGGTTTTTCTTCTATCCCTCTCCCATAAATATTTGTTTGTATGTTTGTTTGGGGGTACTGGGGATTGAACTCAAGGGCACTCATCCACTGAGCCACACCCCCAGCCCTATTTTTGTGTTTTATTTAGAGACAGGATCACACTGAGTTGCTTTAATGCCACTCTTTTGCTGAGGCTGGCTTTGAACTCACTATCCTCCTGCCTCAGCCTCCTAAAAAATGGGATTAGAGGCCAGCACACTGCTCCCAGCTCTCTCTGATATTTAAATGTCATTTTTTCTTTAGAGTTCATGTCTCCTCTTTCCCTACTTGATCTCGTCCCATTCCCTAGTGATAAATATAATCTATATATCAATGAATCTAGAATTTATAAACAGTCCAGACTTCTCTTTCGAGCATGAGACTTACAATTGTCACTTCATAATTTCCACTTGAATGTTTCACAGGCTTCTCAAACTTAACGTATCTAAAATTAATTTGAACCTCTCTAAACTTTCTTTTCTAACGGTCTCTTCTACTTCTACAAACATTACCCCACACATAGTTACCCAAAAGTTTCTCTTCCTCAACAATAACATACAACCCATCACACCAAGTTTATTGATCCTACCTCCAAATTATAACTTTTCAAAAGAAATCAAATCTCAATGTTTATATTCAAGTTTATGTTTAACATTTCATGTTTAGACTATTACCAGGCATTTTTTTAATTTAATTTTTTTTTAAAGAGAGAGTGAGAGAGGGGGAGAGAGAGAATTTTTTTTTAATATTTATTTTTAGTTATTGGCGGACACAACATCTTTGTTTGTATGTGGCGCTGAAGATCGAACCCGGGCCGCACACATGCCAGGCGAGCGCGCTACCGCTTGAGCCACATCCCCAGCCCACCAGGCATCTTTTAAATAAATAATAATTATATATATATTTGGGGAGCTACAATGTGATATTTGTATATATGTGTACACTATAGAAATATTACATCAGCCTAATTAACATATCTAACATCTCAGACACTTAACATTTTTGTACTGAAAACATAAAAATCTATTTGTTTAGGAAATCTGAAACACACATAATTACTAACTATGGTCCCATGCTGCGCAAAAGATCTCAAAAATTTATTCCTCTGGTCTAGTTGAATCTTCGTACCCTTTGGTAAAAATCCCCACATTCCCCACTCCCTTACATCCAGCCTCTGGTAACCACCATTTTACTCTCCACTTTTGTTAAGTCTTACTTAGATTACACATATAAATGAGATGGATTTATCTTAATTGGTCAGTTACTCCTAATGTTCCTGCTTCCCACTGCTTTTTTCTCCCAACCCCACCTTCACCAGCAATCAGAATGACTTTTTAAGTATAAATTTGATCACAGTGAACCCCTACTTAAAAATCTTCACAGGCGCCAGGGAAGGGTGATGCATGTCTATAATCCCAGTAACAGGAGGCTGAGGCAGGAGGATCACAAGTTTGAGACTAGCCTCAGCAACTTAGCAAGACCCTCCCGTAAAATAAAAAATAAAGGGGCTGGGGTTGTAGCTCAGTGGATGAGCAATTGCCTCCCATGTGTGATGCACTGGATTCAATTCTCAGCAGCACATTAAAAAATAAATAAATAAATAAGTTGTGTCCATCTACAACTAAAAAAAAAAAAATTAAATAAAAAGGGCTAGGGATGTAACTTAATGGTAAAGTGACCCTTTTGATCCCCATATTAAAAAACAAAAAAGAAAGAAAGAAATCTTCATAGGCTAGGGTGTGGGTCAGTGGTAGAGCACTTGTCCAGCCTGCTTAAGACCCTGGATTCAATCCCAGCATCAAAAAAAAAAAAAAAAATCACAGGCTTCCCTTTAAAATTAAATCAAAGACTCTTATTTCATTTTTATGTGGTACTGAGGATCGAACCCAGTGCCTCACATGTGCTAGGTAAGCACTCTACCACTGAGACACAACCCCAGCCCCAAATCAAAGACTCTTCAACATGATCTACAAGGACCAAAATAATAACCTGGTCCTTGCCTATCCATCACTGTTTTATCTATTCTGTAGTTCCAGATTATACAGCTCCTTATATGAATCAATCGTTTTCCTACTAGAGGTAGGCTATTCTATTCTACCTTCCCCACTACCACCACTAACCTCACTTATTTTCACAAAGCTGGATCTGCCATTTTCTTTCCTCAGAAAGGCTTTGTCTAACTCTCAGACCTAACCCATTTCTCTATCTCATAGCAACCTGTTATTTTCCTATAGAAGTACATATAAAAGTAAAGCAGTGGGCTGGGGTTGGGGCTTAGTGGTAGAGTAAGCTTGCATAGCAAGCGTGAAGCACTGGGTTCATTCCCTGGCACCACATAAAAATAAACAAATAAAATAAAGGTATTGTGTCCATCTACAACTTAAAAAAAAAAAAAAAGTAAAGCTGTGTTTTTAACTTAAGGTCTACCTCCCCGTAAAACTGCTTCACAAAAACAAGATCCATGTCTATTAACACCAAAAATTTAAGCATCTAGAAGTATCTAATATAGAATCACATTCAATAAATATTTTTTAGAATGAACAAACCAAATTCACATTGTTTTATAAATGCTACAGTGGAGATTAAATGAGGTACTATGAAAACACTGTGAATAGAATACAACTCTGACTAATGAGCAGATTACCTATCAGCTGGGTCTTATGAGTAGAATTTCTGAAGAGCTAGCTCTAGTGGTACTTCATTCTGGCTAGAATCACTATCAGGTCCCACTGCATATGAAACACATCAAAATCTCTAACAATGGGTCTTAGGCATGTGTATTTTTTTAAGCTTCCCAGACAATTCTAATGCAAGAAAAGCACTAGGCAAAGGAAAAAAAATAAGCGAACATATTGCCATAAAGGGGGACTAGCTTGATCAAAAGCACAGGAATCAAGAAAGGACATTGCATAATAGAATAGTAATCAACCAAAAAAAAAAATAGGAGGTGATATAAGATTAATTATAAAGATAAATTGAGGGCTGGGGTTATGGCTCAGGGGTAGAGCACTCGCCTAGTATGCGTGAGGCACTGGGTTCGATCCTCAGCACCACATAAAAATAAAATAAAAAAGGTATTGTGTCCACCTACAACTTAAAAATAAATGTTTAAAAAAAAGGTAAACTGAGGGTAAATTATGGAAGATCTTAAATGACTCTTTAGGACATTACCCTCTAGGCAAATGAGAACCTGAAAGACTTTTAAGCAAATGAGAGATATGCAGGGCTTAGAAAAATAACTTTAATATTGGGGTGAATAACAGTAGGAAGATTCTAGAGGCAGGAAACAAGGTAAGAAATTATCTTAATAACCTAAATTTTTAAAATATAAAAACAAAAAAGAAGCAGAGGGAGATACATCTGAAAGGAAAGAATGAATTCATGGTATGTGACTACAAGTTGAACACAGCTAGTACAGCAAAGGGAGGTTTCTAGACTAAACAACTCCATCAAAGGACATGAAGGACACAAAAGGAACTACAGTATGGAAAAAATGGTTTTAAAAAGTTAATGGGGGTGGGGACCGCGACTGATATAGCTCAGTGATAAAGCACCTGTTTAGCTTACATGTGGCACAGGATTCAATGCCTACTAACACCAAAAAAAAAAAAAAAAATTTAATTGGGATCTGAGAAAATACACGTACCTATTAGGAAAACTACACGAATAACCTAACCTGTTAGAAATTTGAATCTAATTAGACTGTTGCAAAGTTGTGAGACTTTTGTATTTAGAAAGTAGCTGAACTCCTGGGAGAAAAATATAAATCTTCTTGAAGGAAAACACACATTTAAAAGATAGATAAAAAGAGCTTCATATTACCTATAAGGAAGAACAGGCTTTTCTGTCCCATTTGCTTTTGTTTTGTTTTGAAAGGATAAGAAAACTGAGAAGTTCAAATAGTTTTAAATGGGTTGACCAAATGACACAAGTAGAAAGAGGCAAAACCAAGACTAGAACCAAGGGGTTTTAAAATATTTCCACTATGAAATCTTGTCCAGCATGCTACTAAGCTGGACTTCATGGGATTATATATCAAATATTTAGTCAAGTCTTTATTTTAATAGGATTAGAAGACTTCATTTTTCTGAACTACTCAAGAATTCTGGGGACCTGTCAAACCAGTGACTTATTATATATCAACAACTGGAAGCTGTGTAAAATTTATTTTGTGCCTGGAATCTGAATATTGTAAATTTTACCAAGGAGTATCCTTACCCTTTGAAAGATAAGCAGCATTAGACAGCTGATAATAAGTAAAAAGAAATAATAAAGGTGAATGTAGAGACTTACAAAGTTTCAAAGACTATTCAAAATAGGGGCAGGCTGAGAAGATCAGATAATATAAATTAATTTCAACCTAAGAATAAAAATTACTGTCTCAAGTCAACTTACACAAAGCCGAATTCAACTTGAAACAGAATTAAACCCTGTACATTATATGCAAATAAACATGCCATTTTTTTTCACAAATCTTTTTCTTATACAGTTATTTTTAAAACAAATACAGAAATTACCAAAAATATTTCCAACATACCCTAATTTTACAATGTGATAAGAGCCCCCACATTGGCTGTGCACAGGCCTCAAGTTCAGCAGCAAAGGCAGCATAGTAGGTCTGAGACTCAAATTCCACATGCTCATTCAGTTCTCGCTTGTTTAAGTTCATACCTTACAAAAATTAAAGCATACATAGGTCCCATCAAACAGAAGCAAGAATTCAGGTTAAAAAGCAAGTAAAACATTTCCTAGTACCCAACACAACTGACACACACAATTACATAAATTGCATAATACATACAAAAATAAATTACTTAAAATGAAATAATCTAGAACTTTAAAATTTTTTCACAAACTATGTTTTCTTGGACAACACTTTGTGAATGTCTCATATAACAAATGGGTATCTTTAAATAAGGAAGAATCTTAACTGATGCTTGTTGAAATTTTTATGGAAGACTAGATTTCACATTTCTAGATTAATGGTTTGAGATGCTAAAAAAATTACACTCTTGGGCGAGGGTGTGGCTCAGTGGTAGAGGAATTGCCTAGCATATAGAAGGCCTTGGATTCGATCCTTAGCACCACACACAAAAAAAAAAAAGTTTCCTTTTTAATAATTCAACACTTTTTCTTAACTCCCTGGTGTTTTTATGAACTTATAAAAGTTCTTATAAATAACAATTAAAATAATGAGACATTTCAATTGTTAAATACTATTTAATAGTTTAGCATGAGACATCTGTGAACCAAAAAAAAAAAAATTAACAAAAAGATTAAATTCATACCTTGAAAGAAAGATACAAAGTTCATCCACGTAACTAACAAACCATGGTCCTCCAAAAATCTCTTAGCCACACTTTGATGAGAAAGAATATTAATAAAATCACTAACAAGAGGCCAATAAGTATTATTCTTCAGTAATGCTTCTCCACAGTTCACCACCACATGTAAACTATTTTCTTCATCTAAAAAAGACACACACAGCCCCAAAATAAATAACTTTAAAAAAAATTGCCAATGATACAGAATGTTACACATCTTAGAATCAGAAGCATCTAAATTCAAATCCCAGCCTACCATTTAGTACCTATATAGCTCTAAGTGTGTTGGACTCTCTGAACCAACTTCCTCATTTGTAAAATGGGAAAAAATATATATTTTAAAAGATTAAATGAGATGTTAACATAAAGAACTTGGTACATTTTTATAGTAATTATTATTGCATATTGAGCTAACCATATGCTCATAAAATATTTTTTATTCTAATAATATTTTCAGTCCTTATCAATAAGATTTTTATCCCTAGATTAATCTCATTCTACCTTAATAATTAAATCTAAATGATTCAAGTAATACATATTTGCTTTCTTCTAGTCAAGGAATACATAAATACAACTTTGTTAACAAACAATCTTTCAAAGATAAAAGACCAAAAAATTTGTAAACCTCTCAAGTCTTTAAAAAAAATCCTCAAACTTTAAATACATTGTTGTGGTGGGAAACAACTAGACTGCACAAAAATCTTTATCATTAAAATTTATTAGCACTATAAAACATACTAATACACATCAGACACAGAAGGCTCAAGAATAGTAATCTATTTCCTAGTCCACAAGATGAGGAATATGTTTTTTTATTTCTGTTTGTGCTAACTATTCTTTTTGTCATAAGTATAAAATCTAAATCAAAAGTGCATGAACTAATGAAATATCAATAAATACATTTTAAGAGGTATTATAGAAACTGGATCACATGTTTTTGAGAGGCAATAAGTATGGGGGAGGGGAGAAAACCTTATAGCAGAAAAATCATAAAAGCCTAGATGTATTTTACACTCAGTTTGCGTCACAACGACCTTTACATTCTAACTTTAAGGAACTGAAACTGGAATTCACATATGACGATATACAGATATAGTACATACAAAAAAGATGAGATAAAACTCCAGTCAAAGAAACTATCCTGAAAACGTTTTGTCCAAATTTAAAAGACTGAAGAAAGAACAATGCATTTCTGTGTTTCAAGTTAAAATATGATGTTTAAGGTACATATTTTTGTTTGTTTGCTTTTGTTTTTTGTATTGGGTATTTAACCCAGGGACTAAATTTTACCTCAGCCTTTTTTGTGTTTTATTTTGAGATGGGTCTCATTAAATTTCTGAGGCTGGCCTTAAACTTGCAATTCTCGTGTCTCACCCTCCTAGAAAAGCTGAGATTAAAGCATGCCACCACACTAGCTTCATGTGTGTCATTTTTAAATGATTCCTCACTTTAACCAACTTTTTCAACTATCCACCTACTGTCAAACTCATCAGTGAGTAGGTCCTCCAATGCACTTCTTAATTTCTACACATTAAGTTTATATTTTAGCCCATGGAATTATTTTATCCAGCCCTTAAATTAAACAATATTGAAGAACAAAATCCAGTGAAGCAAAGTATGCTGTCTTTTAGTACTTCTCAATGAATGAAAAAAAGGTAATTTAATAAGTAAAGGAGGGGGTAGGGGTGAGGGTAGGACCCTTTCTCAAATTATTCACACCTGAGATTCTGAAAAGCAACCTCCTTATACTGCCACTTTGAGCCAATGAATCAGTGATATTGATGGGACAGTGCTAAAGGATGTTGGGATTAACCAAAAAGAGAGAGAGAGAGAGAGAATAACTGTCCTATGTAATTGAAATCAGAAGATGAATAAGCAGAATACAACTGATCAAAATCACTATTCTCCTGACACTGCTTTAAATACCCCTGTGTTCTTGTGAAAAACGCCTTTGGGTTTATAATGAGATAATTAGAACTTCTATTTTTACCAAAATTGTTAATTTCCTCACTACAGATAAAAGCAATGATTCAGTGTTAAATGAAATTCACTCATCAACAAATATTTAGGAGAACCTACTAAGGGTCAGGTATTCTACTAATCTCTAAGAATAAAGCCAAAAAAAAAATCAAGATATATATTATATCTCTTTGTCCACGGAGCTTAACATCTAAACAAGTGTGTGGTAAGGGATGTTAAAGGGAAAATTCAAGAATCTCAAGAACAAATAAAGCTAGTATACAATTCAAGAAAGACTATCCTGAGTATGTGATGCTTAAACTGAGACCTATAAAATGTAATAAGAATTAGGATGAGCCAAATACACTAGACACAAGGGAACAAATGGTGTTCAGGTAAAGGAGCAATAATGTAAGAGAAGGGTAGAATCATTTGAACAAAGAAGGGTAGAATCATTTGAACATGCAGAAGATGGGATAATATAAATGAGGCTAGAGAATGACACATCAGCAACATTGGGAGTAATCATGTGACAAGAACAGCAAGCCATGGGGGCGGGAGGGATAAGAGAGAAAACATGATTTAGTTGCATAGCATGGAAAGGAACTACAGGAGAGTGGTGATGAGTAGAAATAAAGAAATATGGAGATGACACTGGTTTGAACTGTGGAACAGTGGTATAAAAACAGAAATGAATGGAAGTGGCTATAAAGATATTTAGAAAGTTAAAATGACAGAGTTGGTTATGTTTGCTGTATCTACAAGAAATAAAAAGAAGTAAAGATAACTTGCAGGTTTTTAGGGTATCTTTAGATGGCTAAACAGTGGTAAAAAAAAAAAACACACACACACACTCATATGTTCATGCACATACACATAGAATAAGTTTTTTTTAAAAAAAAGCTTAATATAACTAACGAGTTTGTGCATTTGAAGTGTTTAAAGACATCCAAAAATATTCCAACAACTAGTTTTATCAGCCAGACAGAAGATCAATCTGGAATTTTCAGTATCTACAGATATTCCTATAGTTATGTGATGCATGGTTTTAAATTACATTTTATACAAACTGTTTCATAAGACAAATTGTAAAATTCAGGGGCATGGCAAATCATGAGTTATGGCTGGATTCACAATTAGCATAGAGTATAAAAATTAATATAACAAAGTAAAGGCATTGAGTAGGGATCCTGTACCACTAGAAGGCTTTTTCCTTTTAGTCTAGCTATTGCTATAGTCATGTAAATTCTCATTGCATCAGCTCAATATTTACTAACAGTATAGATCAAATGTTCAAATACTGCCTAGAGGCTAGGAATGTAGCTCAGTGGTCGAGCATTTACCTAGCATTGGGTTCAATCCTCAGCATATCATATAAAATAAAACAAAACAAAACATTATCTAATCACATTTTAAGCAAAGTCTACAAAGAAGCTATTGAAAAATTTTTTTAATGTTAAAAACAGAGATCCTGGGGCTGGGAATGTGGCTCAAGCAGTAGTGAACTCACTTGGCATGCGTGGGGCAATGGGTTCGATCCTCAGCACCACATAAAAATAAAATAAACATGTTGTGTCCACCAAAAAACTAAAAAATAAATATTAAATTCTCTCTCTCTCTCTCAAAAAAAAAAAAAAAAAAACAGGGATCCTATTGTAATATCTGTAGCTACACAATATATTTAAGGATCATTCTGATATCCTTAATGTAAAAATAGGGAACACTTATGGTGCTTTTAGAAAAGCAATATATATATATATATATAATCAAATGCCATGCTACTATTTAAAGAGAAAAAAGCAAAGTTTGAAGGATGTTGAAGATGTTTTAGACACTGGCTTGGAGATAATGTAATCTACTGTAATATATTTAACACGTGACCACCTGAGTCCTGGACAATATTTGTACATAACAATTTCAATAGAATGATGAGAGTGAACACTAAATTGAGGTAGGTAAACTGAGATGGGTTAATGAGTGCCTGAAAGACATAAAAAAACTTTCTCAGGAAAGCTGATGATTTTAAAAAAAAGAAGAAGAAGCAAACTCACACATCTTTTCCCCAAACATACTTCCTTAAAGACCAAATGCAAACCATACTTAAGCACAACTAAATTACTTAGTCAAAAAAAAAAGACTCAGATTCTTTTCAAAAGAGTAGATACTAGACTGGGGTTGTGGCTCAGCAGTACAGTGCTCACCTAGCACCTATGAGGCACTGGGTTCAATCTTTAGCACCCATATAAATAAAGAAAATAAAGGTATTAAAAAAAAAAGCAGATACTGCACTCCGGTTAGAATAGCAATCATCAAGAATCCAAATAACAATAAATGCTGGCAAAGATTGGGAGTAAGACTGTAAATTGGTACAACCACTGTGGAAAGCTGTATTGATGTTCCTCAAAAGACTAGGAATGGAACCACCCATATGACCCAGGTATCCCACTCCTTGGTATTTATCAAAAAGCACTAAAATTAGCATGCTATAGTTATACACACATTCCAAAGTGTACAGCAGAACATTTCACAACAGCAAAGTTATGGAACCAGCCTAGGAGCCCAGCAACAGACAAATGAATAAAGCAAACATGGCATATTTACATAATGGAGTTTTCTCAGCCACAAAGAAGAATGAAATTATGTCATTTAGTGGTAAATGAATAGAATTGGAGAACATCATGCTAAGTGAAATAAGCCAGGCTCAGAACATCAAAGGTCAAATGTTTTCTCTTATAAGAACCTAGAGGTGGTGAGGGTAGGGAATGAAAAAAGGAGATCTCACAAAACATAGGGGAGACCAACAGAGAAAGGAGAATGAGAAAGAGGGATGAGAGGAGGGCATGGAAAGTACTGAGGAAGAAAATCTATCAAAGTATGCTATGTCCATATATGAATACATCACAATGAACCTCACTTATATATAATTATAATATACTGATTGAAATAATACTAGAAGAAAGATCAGTAGATCAGAAGGAAGGAGGTGAGGATGGAAAGGGAAGATAGTAAAAAGTGAGACTGATCAAATTATGTTATGTCCAGGTACATATATGACATAAAGAATCCCACTATTATGCATAATTATAATATATCAATAAAATTTTTAAAGAGCAGATACTTCTATTTTAAAAGTTTTCTAGTTTATGAATTAAAAATTCTATATTTGAAGTCTTTCTCTAAATATGATCCTATATAACATTAATACAATTAATGACAGATACTATTCAAAAAGAAAAATCAACAAATGTAGTTAAATCTCTAAGAAAGAAAGAAAAGGTCATGCTACATAAAGTCAGAAAAACTATAATGTAAAGCAGCTTTTAAATTTTTCTTTAAAAAAGTAAAGAGGTATATTGCTTAATATAAACAATACATTATGTTCCCACTACACCTGCACAAAGAAGGCAAAATCATATCATGGGTAGAAAGAGCATGGGCTTTTAAGTCAGATACTCAACCTTATCACTTAGAACTATATGACAGAGACCATGACTTCAAATCACTAAGACACAGTTGCCTCATCTATAAAATGGAGTCAACAATATTTGCTTCATAGAATTAATGACAGTTAAACGAAATAAAGCATAAAAGTACTTAAAAAAGAGCCTGACAGATGGAGAATGTTCAAAAGATGGTAGCTATCATAATTAGCCAGCTATTATTACATATAAGGCATTAAGTCTTACAGTGAGCATATATCAATTTTTAGGATACAATGTCATTTCTGAATACAGACTGTGAGTATATTGAGAAAATAGAAGCTAATATGAACAAAGGTACAACAGTGGAACAAGGCAAAGCTCAACTAAAAAAAATCTCTTCTCCCCAAAGAATGGGTGGGTCCTATGACTTAATCTGAGATATTGCTTATTATTTGTTTTTAAGTTTAGCTCCAGGGACAAATAAATGAAGACAAAGTCTTCTCATGTGATTGTGCCAAGGTGAAAAACAAAGGTTCTCACCTCAGGAAACAAGAAATCTTCCTTGGCTCTGTCATTTGCTAGCTGTATAATCTATAGCAAATGTCCTAATTTTCCTAAGCTTCAATGTACTTTATCTTTAAAGTGATGATAATAATGCCAATCTCAGAGAGTTGTTGAGAAGCTTAACTGAGATATTATATGAATAGTATTCAACACAGTGCCCAGTACATACAAATATTCAAGTAATATAAGTGATGTAAGAGAAGTTAAAATGAAGGACCACTGAGAAATAAGAATGGGCAAAGATAGGGCTGGGATTGTGGCTCTGTGGTAGAGCGCTCGCCTAGCATGTATAAGGTACTGGGTTCGATCCTCAGCACCACATAAAAATAAAATACAGATATTGTGTCCACCTATAACTAAAAAATAAATGTTTAAAAAAAATAGAACAGGCAGAGATAGAGAAATATATGACAGGTCAAGAAGTTTACCTTGTAGTTCACTTTTAATAAGGCAACTTTCCATCATGTATAATAGTACAGTGACCATAATATCCAGCAGCTGACATTCTTCTGTTACCTGTCTGGCTAGCTCCTCATTGCTGAACAACTGAACACTAATATGCACAATTCTATTAGACATTGTGTCTGATTCATGACTTTTCTTCAGTGTTTTCATAATGAAAGCATAATGTTGAACAAAAGTTTTTGTAAAAGCAACCTGTAAATAGGGAGGAAAACAATACATTAGTTTAACTGAATTTAAAATACAAATATAATGTTGAAAATATTTTAAAGCTATTACTAAATTGTGATGAAATCCAAAGTAATTAAAAAATAATTCAATGATGATGGTAGTCCTAAGTCAGATTTTCCCTTTTTCAGAATATCAGCAAATATTTTGATGGTTAAAAAAATTTAGTTTTAAAGCAATTGCAAACACTATGGTTTAAGAATACAGAATTTCGCTGTGTTCACAAGTATCAAGTTACTAAGGTCTAAGGATATGTCTTTGTTATGTGCTGCCTACTTTAACAACAAAATCTAAAGTTTAAGCCACAAACCACATGGAGAATTTAATACTACTAAACAAGTGAGTCAGTGTGATTACTCCACAAGTAAAAACTTTTATTTGATATGAAAGCAGAAAATGATCTGACTAAATGTCTAAAGTGCTATTTAGTTTACTTTTATTTCCTTCATATGCAGGAAGTACATTTCCTCTGTCATAATTTTTAAGAAGAAATAAAGACACCATAACAACTATACCATGCTTTCTTTTTTCATACATTGAGGTATGTAACTTTGCCATTAACAACCACACGATAATAAATGATGAGTTCAAACCCTCTGAAACTAAAAACTTCTACCTACATTCATACCTGAGTCAGTAACTATTCTCTTTAACAACTGTGGCCACCAACTATTAACCTTGTGTTTTTCCTAGTCTAGTCTAAATTCAGCTACCCCATTAAACTTTATCATAGCATTTTATACTACCTTTCTTTCAGATAATTTAGAATAATTTCTAACTACATATTTACCTCTACATTTGTGTTTTTAATGTTTGTCCCCCAGCATTCCCTTCAAGTTCTACAAAGACTTTTTGAATTCTTAAGAGAAACCTAAGATCCTGTGTGCGTTTTGTGCAGACCCTGTGGTAGCAAGAGAATAAGCAAATGTTTTCTTATGTTATGTCAATCCTTAGATTTATAATATAATAAGTCTCACCTGAGAAATACATTTTTAAAAAAAGATTTAATGATGACAAAGCAAAGTTTAGAAAAGAAAGAAAAATTATGATACCTTATACTCTTGATCTGGAAGCATGTTGAGTAAGAAAGTGACCATCTTCTGAGGGAATTCATACTTTATTGTCCAAAACAAAAGTTCTTCTAGAAAACTTTTATGCTTCAATACATCCATTATGGATTGATCTGCTTAACAAAAAGAAAATTCATTTAATCCTTACTATAATTAACAGCACATCAAACACAAATACCTGAAAATATCTAAAAATTAAGGACACCTTTTCAATAATGTAGTGATAATACCAATATTAAGTTCCTATAATCACATAAATAACAAAACACTTCATCTCTTTATTTTAATATAAATTAGTAATAAAATAAGTATTAATTGTCCTTAAACACGGGCCATTTATCTAAAATTTCTACAAAGATTCAAAATATATATTGAGCATTCCTCATCAAAAATTAGGGCTGGGACACTGGCTCAGCAGTAGCATGTGTGAGGCACTGGGTTTGATTATCAGCACCATGCATAAATAAATAAAATAAAGATCTATCAACAACTAAGAAAAAAAATATTAAAAAGTTAAAAATGCTCCACATTTTTTAGCATATAACTAGTAAATTTTATGCCAAATTTCCAAAACCTGAAAAATACAAAAATTTGAAACTGGTCCCAATGAATTCAGATAAGGGATATTCAGCCTGTAACTATTCAATAATACTTAATTAAAATAACAGTGATAATTTTAAGCTAAAAAGAAATATTGCTTAGGACATAATAACACCAAAATATTTCATTTCTAAAAAAAAAGGATAGATATCTTCTTTATAGGATTCAATAATTCATCTATTTATTTAAAAGAATTCCCATAAATGAGATACTAATATCACTACGAAAGGAAACTCCTTATGTGCTGCTTCCTCTAGTATATTACTTTTCTCTGGTAAGAATATATCCAAAAACGTATAAATAATTTTAGATATGTGTACTTGCACTGGGCTCAAGATGCCTTCTTCACATATAGGGGAAAAGGTAAGTGATGCCCTTTATTTATAAAGATATTCAAATGCAGATTAAATAGAAGGCCTATTTCTAAGAACAAGTGCCCCTCTATGAAGTCTAGGTACAGCACATTTCTGTATCTTATTTAATTCTCACAATTCACTTAGCACCTACATGAATAAAAATTTCTACATCCTTGCCATGCTTAGTCAACAGAAAATCTCAACAAGTATTTGATGAACTGGATAGTTTTAATACTTTTGCTATCTCTTTCACTTTCTCTAACTCATATTTTTGCTCACTAATTTTTTTCCTTGAAAATGATAAGGACACAGCAAATGTCAACTGTGCAGAATTAGATGGAAGATTGGGGAAGTGGGGGTGTCAGTAATATACACTTCAAAATAGTCAAGTATAGCCCTATACATCACAGTTCAAATATCTTGTAGGGTAACCTTGTAGCAATTTCTCAATTAACACTATCTTAGTTCACAGTTCTATTATTAAGCAATAATGTCCACACCACATCTCCTCAGGTAGTAGGTCTAAAAGAGTAACAATGTAGGCTCAATATGCCATCACTTGATTCTTTTATAAAACACAGTGAGTTTACTAAATCTTGAATTGGTTAATATTAGATATGACTTTAGCCCTATTTCTTTATTAATAACTAAAGAAGAAAACAAATCCCAAAAAAATCTTGTATGTTCTGGAAATAAATTCCTCTGGTGCAATCAGTATAAGCAATATGTAATAAGGATTAGGTGTAAATACAATTAGAGTTTTGTAATTATTTTTCAAAACTCAGAATTTTCTTCTTGTAAAACAGAAATCTTTTCCTCCTGAAACACCATCATTCCCATGGTGTGATAATGATTTAAAAACAGAAATAAACTAAGCTTGCAAGAAATGAGGCAAAATATATTCAAAGATCTATACTGACGACTCAAAGCTAAAAAGTAATAAAAGTAGGACCTAAGAGAATCAGATAACAGGAATAAAAGAATCATAACTTAAAAACAGAATATAATCAACAGCACATTTCAATACCTTATTTAATTCTCACAATTCACTTAGCACCTACATGACTAAAAATTTCAGACTACCAAATTTAAAAAAAAAAAAAAAATCCTAAATAAATGCTCCTTAACATATTCACAAAGCTGAACACAACTAGTGCTGTTAATCGTAGAATTCATAGTTATGTCTGCAAGCCTGCATTAGCCAAATGAAAAGTCTGAAGCCACCATCATTACTAATTGGCATGTACTTAGAAGGAAAATACATTAACTTTGTTTTAAATCAACAATCAATCTGAATGCACCCCAAAATGTTCTGACTTCTCTTAAAATGAGAATAACTGCAGTTACGAGGAATTCAATTTCTTTATCTTCAGGAAGGAAAAAAATGCAATGTCTTTGTTGATTTTCTTAAAATGGTGATGTCCGTCTCACAAGATTTTAAAGCATGTGTTATATGTTTTATGTGTAATATTATGGAATGTGATTAGAAACGCTTCTATGATGGGGCTGGAATTGTGGCTCAGCGGTAGAGCACTCGCCAAGCACGTGCAAGGCCCCGGGTTCGATCCTTAGCACCACATAAAAATAAATAAAATAAAGATATTAAAAAGAAAAAACGCTTATATGACTTACCTGATTATATACTTTTAAAATCTTGTCATGACTTTTAACAATGCCTAATCTGCCTTAAGTTAAAATGTAAAAAGATATTTCTAAACAATCAGTGCAGTGTAAATGCGTAAGTAAGGCAAGGTCTTAACTAGACTGAGGATCCAACCTCTGCAACCTCACTAACTCTTTTTCAGTAATCTTAACCATGTTAGTTAACACATTCTAAGCTTCAGTTTCTTCATCTTTAAAACTCAGGCTATGAATATAGACTGTGACTTTAACATAGTACTTGGCCTCTTGCCTTTCATTACATATTTTATTTCAGCTCACATGCAAATGTTGAATCAAATTCTTATAAAAACTAAACCACCCACTAAACTTCAGAAATCGTCCTTCAGAAGAAGAGCCTATAATGAAAATGCCCACTGCTTCCACCTTTCCAGGTAGTCCTATAAATGTCTCAATACACTTAATCAACAGCAAAAGAAAGAACTCTTTTCATCAAAATCATATTTTAACCATTAGAGACTCTATAATAGACCACATTAACCCAGAAAATGGATCATATTACAATTTAGACATCCCTGGCAAAAATCCAAAGCACAGGTTGCCCACTAATGAGAGTCAAGAAAAACAGTGGTTAAAAGTTTAGGCTCTAGGATTTGAATTAAGGATTTATTTCTTATTAGCTGAGATCTCTAACATACCTCCATTTCCTCATTCATAAAATGGAAGTAATACTAAAACCTACTTCATAATGGTTACTTTGAAAATTAAGTCAAATAATACAACAAAGTGCTTAGCATTGTATCTAGCACATATAAAACAATTTAATGAGTATGGTAGCCCTGTAATCTCAGCAGTTCGGGAAGCTGAGGCAGAAGGATCACAAGTTCTAGAACAGTCTCGGCAACGTAGTTTCAAATAAAAAGGGCTAGGGATGTACCTAATGGTAGGGCATTCCTGGATTTGATCCCCAGTACCTCCCCAAAAAAGAAAAGCCAATAAATATTTTACCCATTATTATTACTAATCTATTCCCTTACTGTAGGCATATCTACCTCTTGCTTTGACTAAACACGTTTAGTTTTTCATTAGCCTTTACTATGTGTTTAATGCTATTCATTCATTGCCATTGTACATTGTGTTTCTGTATTTCTCTCCCGTTTCTCCTTTGCTCCTCCTTTCCACTCTAGAAAATGCATACTACAGATTATAAAAAGATGAAAACCAAACTAAAACTCTACACCAAAAACACTGGATCCAAATCAATTAATTAATGAAAAAAACCTTCTATTTGGGGACTCATATGATAATGCTCGTTTTATGATAAAAAACAATGAACTAAATCCTAGTAGAGTTTTACTTGCTTTTGAGGTCCCTGCAACTACCTCCTAATAACACTTCCTCCATCATTAGATAAATCTAACAATATAACTGTCCCTTCAAAAAAACTTTGATGTCACTGTGGCTCTAGTAACCATCAAGTGTCCTTAGTGATCAAGGATTTTTTGGGGGGTGGGCATTTTGCTCAAGGAAAAAACAGAATATACACACACATAAACACACTCTCTCAATTTATACCAATGATACTTTATTTATACCTTTGGTGCCACTGCTCAGTTTTACCCTCTTTCTCTTGCCCAAGCCTTGACTCCCATCCTGATCCTCCTGGAGGGGGAAAAAAGCATTAGATTTATAAATAATCATATTCATAAATTTATACATTTTATATAAATACAAATGTGCTTAAAACATATTTGCATGCTTATACACATATATAATTAAACATAATAAATGCATGCTTATACACTATTAAACATATTTCACTTTTATGTATTTACTATAAAAAATCTTTTTATGCTAATTTTATTTAAATATATAGTGAAATATCCTTAGTGTTAAAATACAAAAGCTCTTAGGGCTGGGGTTGTGGCTCAGCGGTAGAGCACTCGCTTAGCACGTGTGAGGCCCTGGGTACGATCCTCAGCACCACATAAAAATAAATAAATAAAATAAAGGTATTGTGTCCAACTACAAATAAAAAATAAATATTTTTAAAAAAATACAAAAGCTCTTAAACTTAACCTATGCTTCTAATGGAAGCTTCTTAAGCACCCCAAAATGCCAAAATAAAAATTTTCCTAACCTCATATACATGACAATAATTACACTCAGAAGTTAAGAGAATAGGGAGAAAGTTATCATAGAAAGAAAGAGAAAAGGGGAGAGGACTAAAGTAATAAATAGGATAAAAGCTTCAAAGAGTTTGAGACAAAATGAATTCAAAAAATCAAATTCTGAAAAAAAAAACATAACGCATTAGAAGCTGGAGTTGACAGTTTAAAAATAATAGAATAATAATAATAAATCAAAATACGCCTAGGAAAAAACAAAGAAGGAAATATAGGCATTTTTGTTCACATGTGATACATGCATTCCTGAAAACCCTCACACTTAAAATAACAAGGATTATGGGAGAAAAAAGGGTGAGGGGAAAACCACTCACAACCTACTCAAGTTTGTAACCAAAGAAGTAATAGAAACAATAACTGGTACCTGGGGAGATAATTTGTATGCCCAGGCAAACACCTTGACATGGTTCAGGCTGTCTCAGAGGATGCTGACACTGCACAGCAGCAAAATGGGCATCAGCCAGATGAGACAACACATAGGGAAGAGAAGCAGATGCAGGAGCCTGCCACTGTGAAAGTCATATAAAGCTACAGGTGCACCTATTTAGGGAGGTAGTTGTAGGTATAAGGGCTCACTTCTACTTTTCTTAAAATGTTATTGGAAAGGCTTCTAATATCTTTGTAATAGAGCTCAGGATTTTCCTATTCATCTACAGGTTATGATTCTACCCCACTATTCCATCTCTCCTAAATCAGGAATTCTACATATAAAACAAAAACTTCCATTTTATACTTCCTTTCCCTATATCAAATGCATATCAGTCAACTGGTATTATAAGACATATGTGTTAATATTTTAGCATAGATTTAGTTCTAACCTGGTGGCAGGTTAGAACTGTAGTAAAAACTTCCAAATACTTTCTCAATCAGAGTTGATTAAACCTCCAAAGTAGAAAAGTAGTCTGAGCTTCCTGCTACAGCTTGATTTATTGGAGTTGCTTCTTTGGCCTATACTTCGTATCCTTTAGAGGGTTTCTGTCAAATCCAGCATCATTCCTCAGGGTTATTCTCTAGGTTTTCCGGAGCTACCATTTAGCTTACTTATTCAGCATTTATTGAGCACTTCAATATTCCTGCCCTGTTAATCCCTCACTTTGTCCAGTCTCTATGGCCATCAACCTGGCAGCAAGACTATCAAATTACACTCTCCTCCTCCTCTACCACTCTAACCTTGCCCCAGGAGAAATTCAGCAGAATGAAATTTGGATTCTTGACAGACAGAAAAATGTGAATATCATGCCACAGGGCCCAAAGAATTCAGATTTAAGATTTCAACTAATAGCAATTTATGAAACTATTCTCCCAGACCTGAGACAAAAGACAAAGTTGGAAAAAATATGTTAAGTCCCAGGTTATAATCACACCATAAATTTCAAAAATAAACTTCCCTTGTAAAAAGTATCCTTGATCCAGTAATGGCCATGGCAATATGAAGTTTTATAAATTTTCTGGCCTTCTAGTCTTAAAGAACAAGTAGAAGTAGCCAAGCAAAAGAAGGAAAAGTCATTCCGAGAAGAAAAGAGATGGCAGAGTTTTTTGCCTGTGGTATATTGCTTGTCTAATACAGACAAGGCCCTGGATTCAGTTCTTACCATCAAAAAAAAAAAAAAAAAAACAGGGGGGATGTGGCTCAATGGTTAAGCACCCCAGGGTCCAATCCCTGGATAGGGGGGCGGGGGTGCGGGCTGGGGGGATAGGAGAGGAGGAAGAAGAGAAGATAAAGAGGAGAAAGAGCATGAACTAAGGTACAAAGACAAAAATCTGGAGACATGGACCACGGGATTGGACTTAATATTAATATCATGGTATGCAAACACAACTAGGACAATAGATTATCTTCATCTATGGTGGTGGAAAAATTAGTACTCTTGCACACTGATGGTGAAAGTATATAGTACAGACTTCTGAATGACAAGTTGATAATATATGTCAAAACTCCTTACAGTGTTTTTAACACAGAAATTCCAATTCTAAGAATTTTTCCTAAAAAAGTAATGAGACAATTGAATAGGAAGTATGTACATGACTATTCATAACAATATTATGTATAAAAGCAAAAGAAAACAATCTCTGGCTTTTAAGAGAAGATGGATAAGTAAATAAAATATAGCACACCTGCACCATAAAAGAAAAAACAATGCTAGAACTCTATATTCATTGTTACCAGATGACATTCAAAAAGCATTACTGTGAAAAAAGCATGTTATGTACAATAACATATGGAATAAGAAATCATTTAAGCAATCTACACAAATAAAATGTTAATATATTCATTATAGTCAAAATTATCATTGGTGGAAAAAAATGATACAAGACTATAGCATGAAACCATTAAAATAGTCTATGTATTAAGATCTGTTAGAATGCAGATGTTTTATATATATACGTATATATATATGTACGTATATATGTGTGTATATGTGTATGTATGTGTGTATTTATGTGTGTGTATGTATTTATTTATTTATTTGTTTGTTTATATTCATGAAGTTCTTCTGATATGCTGACCTCTGAAATATTTTTAATTGTCTTCCCTTTCAAAGTGACAAATGTGGTTTTGCCAAAATGGTTTGAGTATCTCTGAGAGTAGACTACATCTTGTCCCCTCTTGGCCAGGATTCTTCATTCTGTTATACTGTGATAGCACCTAGCCTGATGTTCAGAGTGCACAGTGAAATGTTCTAGACTACAAATTAAGGTAGAAGTCCTGATGTACTTTTTCTTAAGAACTTAAAATAGAATGCAGATGTTTATAATGAGTTACCTCTACGTGACAGAGTTATAGATCATTTTATCATCATTTTTCAATATTTATTTCCTATTTATTCAACAATTAATATGGGTTGCAGTTTTAAGTTAATAAATATTTATTAAGAAATACTGCCTTGATTTCTAATCTCAATCACAACAAACTGCTCAAGATGATGGACTACTGTGTCATCTAAATATGATATTTTTATTTTGAGAAAGAACAGAAATAACTCCCAAAGGTTGGAATTTCAGACACTAAGGAAGATCAAAGCAAAAAAAAGTCATCATGACCACAATTTTCCATCCTTTCAAATTCATTATTGGGAAATGAAGTTCTTCCCATTTATCCATGAGGAAACAGTACAGGACACTGGGAAGAGGGTCTAACTGATAAGGTGAAATAAAATGAGTACAATCCTGACTCAGCATTTGTACAGGCCCCAGACTTTTTTTTTTAATATTAATTTTTTATAGTTGTAGTTGGACACAATTTTATATATATATGTATGTATACGTATATACATATATACATATATATATATATATACACACACACACACACACACACACACAAAGCAGGTATGCTATACTTTATTTACTTATTCATCTTCTCTTAAAACCCAGGGCCTTGCATGCGCAAGGAGTGTGCTCTACCGCTGAGCCATAACCCCAGCCCCCTTCTAGAATTTTACTAGTCCCTGGGGGCAAGGCACCATTGCTGCAAGTGTTTCTGGGACAAACTATGGACATAGGTGCAAATTATTTTAGAGAAGAGACAATTAGACCTGAGACAAGAAAAACATATTCAACTACCAGTATATAAAATCCCTATATAATATATTCATTATAGCAAAACAGTTATCATGACCACAATAAAGAGTTTCTCAATTCAAATTAGTCCTTTTTTCTTTGATGAATTACTAAGCAAATGAAAAATACAAACCCCATAAAAAGAAGTCAGGTAAATTCACAGCTGATTAAAATAATACTCAAAAAAAATGAGACTATTTAATAAAAATAAAATCCAAAAGAGATCTTGAAAAACTGGAATAAAATAAAACTTAAAGATTTAAGTAAACCACTGTAATCTGAGACTTTAAATCAACTTTACAAGAACAAAGGAAGCTTTAACTTGTTAGTTGTGAACTGGAAGGGGAGGGGAGTGAACACCCTAGGCATTTTATTTGACCACTGTGGCTCCTGCCAACAGTTTAAAATAGCTACTAACAGGCTAGCAAAAAACTTTAGGCCTAAATGAAGGCACAGTATTCTTATCAAAAGATGTCTCTTCACTGTGCACAGAACCAGATCATAGATTTTAAATGGAAATGAATTTACTAAATAGATGAAAAGAAAAAGCTATGCACAACAGAGAATATTAAATAAAGGTAGATATTTAAAGGGATATTGTAAGGGTCCGGCGAAGCGTCAGAGAAAGAGACCACCAAGTGACCACTCATGCAATTGGCAGAAGGGGATTTAATGATCTAGCATGCTAGGGCTCCGTGCCCACTCAAGAAGGGAGAACAGCCCAGAGCCCTGAGCAGGGGCTGAGCACTGCTTAAGTACACTTTTTTTGGGGAGGGCGGGGATTTTACATACATCACAGTCTCCTTTAACAAATCATTATACACCGCGGGAAAGTCAAACAACAATTCTTAGACTTGATTAGTACATACATTAGCGGGAACAGGTCGGGTGGGGGTGATAGGTCAGTTCTAAACG